TAAATTTTAGGGGGCCATAATTTTTAAATGATGGAATTACTTTAACAAGTTTCTTATCTTGGATAATTAGTACTTCGATTTTACAACTCTCCTCCCTGGAGCTCCCCTCTTTATGGTGGGGATGTTGTTATCATGGTTAGGATTTATTTCTGCCCTTGTTAAAGCCCTTGTAATTCCATGAGTTATTTCTTACTCAGTTGCTGCATTGCAGTTTTCTTTATGGATAGTTAATGGCAATGCAAGGCTGGTTTAAAAACATTGTTCCCCTATTTGTCTGGTAGTGATAAGTGATAGCCTGGCCAGTTTCAAGATTACCATCCTGCAACTAATTCAGTTATCTCCAAGGTTGCTGAAGCCAAGGTATCTCCAGTTGCCAAGTTGTTAACTAATCTTATTGCCAGCTAGGATAAATCTGCCTCTCAGTGCTCATTTTACACATTTTCTGCTGAAAGGACTTAGGAGAGAGAAAAAAATAGAATAGTCCATTTAGGTGTAGCCCAGTAGTACCAGTGCTCTTGGTGAATAAATGAGCAAGCTATAGAACGCAAAGGTTTGGTTTTCAGCAAGGTTTTGCTACAGTCATTGCTTGGTGTAACAGACTGCCAGAAGCTTCTCTATATTCCTCATAGAAACAATTGAGAATGACATAGCGGAGGGATATGTATTTGTGTGCAGCTGCATTCTGGATTAAGGCCCACTGGTAGACTAGTGTGAAAACTGGTCCGAAGATAAGATGGCACTTGTATTTTGCACTGATGCTTGTACAGCCTATCAGAGAGAGCTCTGACTGAAAATTACTTAATGTTTTGGGAGACCACTCAACACGGGGTTTTAGTGTTCTGGGTTATTTTATATTCTTCAGGAATGTTTCCTAACAACTCAACTGGGACTGATAAGTTCTTTTATTTGACTAAGCACAGCTACGCTGAAAGTCAAAATGTCCAGGCTTTCTTTAGATATGACCAATTTATCTTCCCTCTTCTGGAAATGTAGAAAGTATAAAGCAATGGTTTCTAAATTTGGCCACTTTTAAGACTTGTGGACTTCAGCTCCCAGAATTCCCCAGCCAGAATGGCTGGCTGAGGAATTCTGGAAGTCTACAAGTCTTAAAACGGCCACGGTTGGAGACCCTGGTTTAAAACATCAGCTTTCAGTGTTGTCTTGACCATGTTTCTCTACCAGATATCCTGTGTTGCAGCCATGTTTAAGAGGTCTCTTTTATGTTCAAGCATTCTGTTGAAGCCATGGTTGCATAATAACTGGAATATAGTGTTTTAAGAGCCAAATATGTGATATAACTATGACGGTTTACTTAATTTGGTTTTTGTTAAAACATCTCACACTGAAGCAGCTTTAATCTATAAAGGTTTCTTGGGGGTAACTTTAGAGAAAAATATTTAAAATGGTATGAAAGAAAAGCTATGCATTTTACAGAGCGTGCAAAGGTGTAGTCCCCGTGGTACTTTTAGGGATCTTTATATTCACATGTATATAAAATAGTTTGCATATACAAATTATAATATAATCAATTTGAATTATTCTCAGATGGGGAGGGTGTAAAATATAACTTATGAAAATATTATTCACAAAAATAAAACCCCACAGCCCTCACTACATAAATGAATTTTTGTCATACACACGAGAAATGTCTTACTTAGTGGCTGTGAAAAATGGTTGCAATTTATCTCCATAATGTTAGATCTCCACTCTTAACTGCTTAGCATTAAATACAACTTTGATCAATACGTTTTTCTTCTAGTTTTTTTTTTTTAACGAACCTCTTTGTAGAAATAATGTTTCAGAGAATATAATGGTGCTAATCACTCCCATCAGTCTGTAAGTTTTACAATCCATGTAGCGAAGACTGTGTTGTATATGTACATCGTGTGTATTTTTGAGGGGTGTGTGCAAAACATCTTAGATTCACAACGGGCGGCTCTGCCTACTCCACAAGGGATCCAAGCTTGAAAGGTAGGTTCAACCTTCACAGCAACATATATAAATATAGGTAGCCCTCAACTTACGACCACAATTGAGCCCAGAATTTCTGTTGCTAAGTGAAACATTTGTTAAGTGAGTTTTGCCCCATTTTACAACTTTTATTGTCACCGTTCTTAAGTGAATCACTGCAGTTGGCAAATTAGTAGCATGGTTGTAAAGTGAATCTGGCTTCCCCATTGACTTTGTCAGGTCTCCAAAGGGGATCACATGACACAGCAACTGTCATAAATATGAATCAATTGCCAAGCATCTGAATTTTGATCACGTGACCACTGGGGATGCTGCAACTGTTGTAAGCGTGAAAAATCGTCAATTTTTTTCAGTGTCGCTGTAACTTTGGTCCCTAAACGAACTGTTGTAAGTCGTGGACTACCTGTAACATAAAAATGATGCTGGTTCGTGCAGTTTTTGGAGAAGGTGCTATGTTTTGTAAGAGCATTGTTGGAATGAATGAAAAGGAGACAAAGATCATCTTAAAGGTAATGCAGTAAGGGGAGCACGTAAGGGAATTTGATCTGTTGGACAAAGCTATTCAGATTTGTTTTCAGGTGGATCCCAGCCTCGTGGCACGTCTGGTGGAGATGTCTAAGGAGGAGTTACCTCTGTTACCCTGGGAACAATTTGAACCTGCTGGACCTGAGGAAATGGACAGGGACCTTACTGCTGTGAGCTCAGCCACCTGCTGTATTCCTAGATTAATGCAATTATCTTAAAGCAGTTCAATAAAGTTTGGTGGGGTTTTTTTTCCACAGGAAAAACAAACTTTTATTTAAATTATTACTATCTTGTAATTACAGGGATTTTAACTTTTGTGACCTTCAAGATTAGCATTTGAAAAAAAAAATATTGTTTTTTGCAATGGAATCAAGTTTTTGATTAACAAAAAACACTGTGGCCGCAATTAGAAAGTCACTAGTTGATTACGTTGGCAACATATTGGTGGCTTGGCTCCATTTCAGCCATTGTATTTATTGTATTTTCTGTACTAGAGCCTGACAGGGACATTTAGATGGCATCGGGACAGAAGAATACTTTCCACGTTTATTCACTTGTCATGCTTGCATTTTAAGTTCATCCCGATTTGAAAACTATAGGTAATAATTTTGTGTCAAACCTTTGATAGACTCCGTCACTGATTGTGTTATCAAGTGGTTGCCAGTTCCTAAGAATTACATAGATTCCACACACACCTCTAGCCCCAATCTGGTCCTTCCAATGGTGCACCAGAAGGCAGGAGAAGAAACAACGGGTGGAAACTAATCAAGGAGAGAAGCAACCTGGAATTAAGGAGAAACTTCCAAACAGAACAATTAACCAATGGGAACAGATTGCATTCAGACATTGTCGGTGCTTCATCACTGGAGGTTTTTAAGAAGAGACTGAACATTTGACTGAAATGCTATAGGATCTCCTGCTTGAGCAGGAGGTTGGACTAGAAGATCTCCAAGGTCCCTTCCAGTTCGATTCTGATCCTGATTCTGACTAGCACTGATGATGTTAACTAGTTGGGTAATGAAGCGTCTGCAGGAAAACAAGCTCAGAGAGCAGCAAGGACCCCTCATGTCAATTCTGAGTGACAAATATTTTATTAGCAAGGTACACCAACTGATGAAGTGAAGGCTCACCTCTTTCCACCCCACTTTCTGGGAACAGATCACCATTTTAAATCCTCCAATGGTCCAGCAGGACGTCATCCGAGCCCACAGCCAGTCCACCTTTGGGTGATGGGGTTCAATCACACACTGGATTGCACATCCAGCTGGTGTGCAGTAGAACCAGGAATCCCAAAGGTGCTTTTTTCAAAAGATAACTGGACTTTGCTTTTGCTTTGAAGCTGTTTTGCTTCTCATCCAAAAGCTTCATTTCTTCAGAGTGCTCCAGAGAACCGGAGAAGCTTCTGGGATGAGAAGCAAAATGTCACCAAGTCCAGTCTATTGGGGAGGGGGGAAAAAAACCACACTTGGGATCCTAAGAATCTCCATAAAGCCCAGGAAGATCATCCTCTTGAGTCGCTGAGAATCCACCCGAATTTGCGCATTAGGACACGAACAACTCCTGCGCCACATCCAACACTCCTTTCCTGCAGCATCTGAAAAATAAGATCAAGTGAGGCACTAATACCACTCTACAAAGGCTTAGTAAGATCACACCAGAATACTGTGTCCAAGTTGGGTCGTCACACTATAAAAAAGATGTTGAGACTTTAGAAAGTGCAGAGAAGAGCAATATAGGCAATTAGGGGATCAGAGGCTAAAACATGAACGGTTATAGGAACTGGGCATGGCTAGTCCAGTAAAGAGAAGTCCACTAAGAGAAGCATGATAGCAGTCTTCCAAAATCTGAGGGGCTGCCACACAGAGGAAGGGGTCAAACTATTTTCCAAAGCACCTGAGGGCCAGACAAGGAATAATGGATGGAAACTGATCAAGGAGATTCAGCCTAGAAATAAGGAGAAATTTTCTGACAGAACAATCAACCCGTGGAACAGAAGTTGCCTTCGGAAGTCATGGGAGCTTCATCCCTGGAAGCTTTCAAGAAGAGACTGGACTGCCACCTGTCAGAAATGGTATAGAGTCTCCTGCTTGGGCAGGGGGTTGGACTAGAAGACCTCCAAAGTCCCTTCCAACTCTTATTCTATATTCTAATGTCCTCGGGTCATTGCTAATTTCCCACAGCACCTCTGTCATGATTTCTTCCTCCTCCTCTTCCCCCCTCGCCCGGTTTTCCACTATTTGAGGGGATGCCACAAAGAGGAGGGACTCAACCTATTTTCCAAAGCACCCAAAGGCCAGACAAGGGACAATGGAAGGTCTGAACAAGGAGAGAGATTTCAACCTAGAAATAAGGAGACATTTTCTGACCGAACAATCCACCCACGGAACAGAAGTTGCCTCCAGAAGTTGTGGGAGCTTCATGACCGGAACCTTTCAAGAAGAGAATGGAAGGCCACCTGCCAGAAATGGTGTAGGGCCTCCTGCTTGGGTGAGGGGTTGGACTAGATGACCTACAAGGTCCCTTCCAACTATGTGAATCTGTTACATTCCCCGCGCGCCCCCAGCTCTACAACGGAGCGGCTGGTGCCGGAGAGAAGGAACGGAACGCGCAGCAGCCTCCCGCGGCTGAATGAATGGGCGCCGCTGCTGTCGAACGACCCGCCCCTAACGGCGAAGGGGAGCCCCCCCCCCCCACTTCCAGCATCGCCTCCCCCCTACACAAACACACACACACGCACGCACGCGGCGAACAACGAGGAAACCGCTCCGGGACAGCGATGACGCCTCCAGTCCGACGTTGCCCCCTCGGCTGCCAAGAGAGACGCGGCCGTGATCGTTTGTTCTTGCGCTTCTCTGGAGGCCGATCCTGAGCGACCGGGGAAATCCCCGGGTGAGTTTTCTTCAAACAAACCCGAGTTCGACGTTTCCTTTACAGCCGCAGCCCGGGTTACGAGACTTCCTGGAAGGGGGCCCGAGCAGGAAGAGACAAAATTGACACGTGGATCTTTTTTTTTTTTTTCCCCCCCCCCCCCCGGTCTGTTTTCCTTTCCAAATCGAGGGCGGCCGGCGAGGTGATGCTTTAGTGTAGCTTGTCTCCGGTGCGAACCTGGGATTAGGCGTCGTGGAGACAGAGGACTATCCTCAGGGAGGACCCCGCTCCTTTTCCCAAATCAACCGACAACCGCCTCTCTTCCTCCGCTTGTTGCTTTTTCAACGCCTTCTAACTTTGAAGCCCGGTCTCTTGTCTCGGAAGAAGAGTAGCTGGTGAGGACTTCAGTGGTTGGAAAGAGTTAGAAAACTTTGGGAAAAGTTAGATGGGAGCTTCTGACTCTCTTTTTGGGGGGATTTGGTGTGGTTTGTTCCATCTGTGGATTTACACGCACACACACACACACACAGCCTTTGTTTGACTTAAGCCTTTGAATGGCCTTGAGCACAGGCATCAACGGAAGGCAGGATTTCGGGGCCAACCAGCTGGCATCCCAACATCACAAGGAGCATCAACTGCCAGCCCCCAGAGGCCAACAGCAAGAAGCCCTGAAAAAAGATGGAGGAATCGGGGATGTCTTTTGGTCCAGGTGAGTATTGGTGGTTCTCTTAGCTTTGGGAACCTTTTCCAAGGTGGCCCATCTGTAACTGTAACTGTGAAAGGGATCTCGGGAGTCTTAGTGGATAACCAGCTAAATAGGAGCCAGCCGTGTGCAGCAGCCGCCAAAAAAGCCAATGCAATTCTAAATTGCATTAACAGAGGGGTACAGTCGAGATCAAGTGAGGTACTAATACCACTCTATAAAGCCTTAATAAGATCACACCTAGATTATTGCATCCAGTTTTGGTCACCACACTATAAAAAAGATGTTGAGACTCTAGAAAAAGAGGCAGAGAAGAGTAACCAGGATGATTAGGGCAGGGGTGGGATTCAAATTTTTAACAACCGGTTCTGTGGGCGTGGCTTAGGTGGTGGGCATGGCTTGGTGGTCATGTGTGGCCAACTCAATATCACTCACATCGAGGCATGCATCTCGCCTGGCCTCATGACTGTGGGGATGCTGCAACAGTTGTAAGTGTGAAAAATGGTCATAACTCACTTTTTTCAGTGCCATTGTAACTTTGAATGGTCACTCCAAACAAGCAAAGTACCAGCAAAGGAGGGGGGAAAACTCTAGAGAAGTTCCAGAGACACGAAGTCTAGTCCTGCTAAGAATGTAATAAGGGTTAACGGAGAAGCAGTTTCTGTAAGCAACACGAGAATGTTTCCTTCCTGCCTTCCTTACAGGATTAGGCCAGTAATTTCTTCTAACAACCGGTTCTCTGAACTGCTTAGAATGTTTACAATGTTTACAACCAGTTCTAGCAAATAGGTGTGAACTGCTGGAATCCCACCTGGGATTAGGGGACTGGAGACAAAACATATGAAGAACGGTTGCAGGAACTGGGCTTGGCTAGTCTAGTAAAGAGAAGGACCAGGGGAGACATGATAGCAGTCTTCCAATATTTGAGGGGCTGCTACTGAGAGGAAGGGGTCAAGCTATTTTCTAAAAAACAGGCGCTTAGTAGGCTTTAGTAAGACCACACCTAGAATACTGCATCCAGTTTTGGTCACCACATTATAAAAAAGATGTTGAGACTCTAGAAATAGTACAGAGAAGAGCAACCAGGATGATTAGGGGACTGAAGACTAAACATATGAAGAACGGTTACAGGAACTGGGCATGGCTAGTCTAGGGAAGAGAAGGACCAAGGAAGACATGATAACAGTCTTCCAATATTTGAGGGGCTGCCACAGGGAGGAAGGGGGTCAAGCTATTTTCCAAAGCACCCGAAGGCCAGACAAGGAACAATGGATGGAAACTGAATAAGGAGAGATTCAACCTGGAAATAAGGAGAAATTTTCTGACAGTGAGAACCAATGGCACAGCTTGCCTTCAGAAGTTGTGGGAGCTTCATCACTTGAGACTTTCAAGAAGAGATTGGACTGCCATTTGTCAGAAATGGTGTAGGGTTTCCCACTTTGTCAGGGGGTTGGACTAGATGACCTACAAGGTCCCCTCCAACTCTGATTATCTGTTATCTGTCTGTCCATTCCAAGAGTGGAGAATGTTGGCTGGGTTTGAAATGCTGGTTTAAAAGCAACATGAATGGTTGTAAGTCAAGGGCTGCCTAGCTGAGCTGATCTAGAAAATGTAAGCCTGGCTGAAATTGATTACAGGTAGTCCTTGACTATTGGTTTAATGACTGTTCAAAGTTACAATGGCACTGACAAATGTGATACAACCATTTTTCACAGTTACGATCTTTGCAGCCTCCCTTTGATCATGTGGTCAAAATTCAGGCGCTTGGCAACTGGTTCTTACTTATGACCACTGCTGTGTTTCAAAGGTCATGCGATCCCCTTTTGCGATCTTCCAACAAGCGAAGTCAATGGGGGAAGCCAGATTCACTTAACAACTGGGTGACTAACTTACCAACAGCAGTGATTCCCTTAACAATTGCGGCAAGGGAGGTTGTAAAACTGATAAAGAACAAAAAACAGCGTAGGGGCAGGTGGGAGGGCTGATCCTGCGCTTTTCTATTCTTTCTCTTCTCAGTTGATCATCGGAGCTTTTTTTTCAACTACCGGTTCCGCAAGCTGGTAGAAATTTTTGCTACTGGTTCGGTTGAACCAGGCTGAACCAGTAGCATTTCACCACTGTGTCATACCTTTGAATGGTCACAAGTCAAGGACTATCAGTGTCCTAGTTTAGACAAAGAAGAACCTCGTGATCAAATTGAGACCAAGACTCCAAAATGTATTTTATTTTTTCTTTATGTACACTGAGAGCTTATGCACCAAAGACATGCCGCACCCACAATTATAAGATCACAATTTCGGCAGTTTGCAAGTGGCTCCCATTTATGACTGGTTGCGGCGTCCTGCAGTCATGGGGTCGTAATTTAGGACTTTCCCAACTGATTTCCAGTTTTCCAACAAAAAATTCAGTCGGGGAAGCGGAAGTTGCTAAACGACCATGCGATCATGGTCCATGCTTAAAAGACTGTGGCGATTGGCTTTACGACCCCAGTAAAAAAAAAAAAAGTTGTAAAATTAGGTCCGGTCATGTAATAACTCACTTTACGACCGCCCCGATTTATAATAGAAATTCCAATCCCAGTTGTGGTTGTAAGTCGAGGACTACCTGTATACCCACATAGAAACTGATACTTGGATAGCATTATAAACTTTCTTGGGTGTCCAAACTTTTGGCTTGACTGGGCTGCATTGAATGAAAAGCAATTGTTTTGGGGCACATCTAAAATATATAATATGGTTAATGTATATCAATCACATAATAATGTTAGAAATTTATGATCTGGTGGGACTGCATTAGGGCTGCATGTGACTTGTGGACATTATTGTTCCAGAGTTTAGCTTGATTTCAATGGAGTTTCCATGCAGTTTTGTTAGCAATAATATGGAAAGGATTCGCTATTATTCTTTTCCAGTAATATTCTTCTTAACTTCCTAATTTAACATATGGCCTGGGGGTTTCCTGGCTAGATCTCCAAATAAATCCGAACTTCCTTAGCTTTTCAAAACAGCCAAAATTTTCCAGATGCCAACCAGGTGTCACTAGCATGGCCAGAGAGAGAAGAGCATCAAAGATGATGAGGGGACTGGAGGCTAAATCTTATAAAGAACGGTTGCTGGAACTGGGTTTATCTAGTCTGATGAAAAGAAGGACTTGGGGATGACAGGATAGCAGTCTTCCAATATTTGAGGGGCTGTCACAAAGAACAGAACTGTTCTGACCCAAACCTTGTTCCAAGTAAACAAACACCAAACAGAGATAAAAGCAAAACCTTTTAATGCTTCTCTGCAAATTCCGTTAATTCATGGTTAAAAGGCTATTAAATCTAATGGTCTCTGATAAGAACGAGCCTTACCAAGGTTGTGCAAGGCTGCCAAAAGCACTAGATTAAGTTGCCAAGAAATATTCCAAGCAAAAAGTCTTCAAACGCAAACCAAGATAGTCTGAACTTCCATAAGGCTTGAAGTGCAAGAACTTCTTTGCTTCCTGCCTCTCAGGCTGGCTTTTATCTCTTAAGGGAGGGGCCATTACCTTGCAGCCTTACTCCCGAGTCACCCATGCTACTGCAGCTGCTCTTTCCTACGAGCAGCCCTGCGCATACGCGCACTGGGCACGGGCTCCTCAGGGGCCTCTTCATCACTGCTGCCAGCCCCCACAATCTCTGAAGGCAGCACTTCACTCCCTGATGGTCCTGGCCCCATCCCTGCATCACACGCAGGCCCCTCATCTGAGTCCTCGCTCTCCGAGACCTCAGCCGTCTGCAACCTGCTGCTGGCGAACCACAACAAGAGCAGAATAACAGAGTTGAAAGGGACTTTGGAGGTCTTCTAGTCCTATCCCTTGCTCAGGCAGGAAACCTTATACCGTTTCAGACAAACGGTTGTCCAATCTCAACCTCAAAAATTGATTGAGGACTCCCAAAGTTGGTGTGGCTTCTTGTCTATCAATCTAGACTATATCAGAAATTAAAACTAGGGAATTTAAAAACATGTATTTATTTAACGTCTTGGACCCCCTGAAAGGATCTCAAGGATCACACTTTGAGATATGATGCCCTATAAATCAATAGAGTGCAAATGTCCATTGAATCCGAATGCTATTGGCTGAGGAATTCTGGGAATTGGAGTCCACACAACTTAAAGTTCTCTAACTTGAGAGAATACTGGTCTAAGTCAAAGAACTGCATCAGATTGTATCCATGGGGAAATTTGTGTTGGAATAAAGGAGGAAAGACTTCTTGAACCCAGTACAGCTAAGGACCTCTTCTGGAGGTTGGCTAGGGAATCAGAAAAAGGCAACATCATGAGAACACAGCAGAAAAAAAGAATGTCAGGGCAGGTTTTAATCACAATTAGGTGCAAACGTGGAAGTCTCTAAATAAAACTTCCTATCGAAAACAGTTACATCAGTGACAAACTGAAAATCCGTTAGTGTTAGTGCAACCGTAAAGGCCTTACTTAGCCGTCGATTGAGCGACAGTTGATTATCTTCAAGTTTATTTCCTACCTTACTACGGTATCTAGAAACCAATTTGGCAGGTGTTTCTTAGCCTCAGCCGTGAATTCTTGCTTGAGCTGCTGGAAAACATGCACATTTGTTGGTTCACATGTGTTTCCCAACTGTTTTGTGGACATTAAATAAAAGCAGTTCATTGACCTGTAGATTATCTGAGTTGGATTTTGCAATGATGAATCAAAATCAAAGACAGGGAGGAATTTTTCTTCTGGATCTCTCTCTCTCTCTCTCTCTCTCCTCTTTTACACATACACAAAAAACACAGTTTGATAAGAGTTCAGTGTCTTTCTCGTGCCTCTATTTTGCCTGTCTCCAAGGCAGCCGGGATAAAACCAGAATTTAACCTGGATCTGTGATTTGGTTAATCATTTGCACCCCTATGGGATTTTCTGCTGTTTAGTTGAAGATTAACTGTGTTAAAGTGTTTGCTTTGAAGGTGGCAAGACAAACAAGAATAGGTGCTTTTGTTCTAGAAGGAAGAAGAAGATGCAGGA